TGGTGTGGGGGATCGAAACTGGGTTAATACGATCAGCCAAAGCAGTAGCGAACTTTCTTTGACCATTATACTTAGAATCGACTGTGTGTGGTCAGGCTTGGCAGGGCTAAACGGCCCCCATGGGCCAGCCATTGTAACCCCTCCCGCCCCTTCCATTGAGGTTTCCCCCTCCCTTGTGACTTCCGTCAAAGGATAACTGTTCTGGAAGGAAGTGGACGTTTTGCTTCTTGGTGTTTCTGTCAGGTATTAATTCTGCCTCGGTTCTTCCGAATAGGTGTATCGGGAGAGCAAAAAGATGTCGTTCTTTGTAACGGAGACTGAGCTCGCAAGATGGAAGCCATTGTTATGGCTTGATTGCATTTCTAAGTGCCCGGTTTTTTATTCAACCCTTCATTTAACAGTAGGAACTTCTGATTGCGTGGGGGCAATTGACTCTAGATTTTGAATTACATTCTAATGATACTAGCTGAAACATATTGGATACTAGTTGCCACACAGTGACACTAGTTGCGACATGTTGGATATTAATGTCTATGCTATAAATACTAGCTAGTGTGCTGTAGATACTAGTTGATATACTATAGATTCTAACTGCTGTGCTATAGATTCTCGTTGTTATACTATAGATGCTAGTTGCCATACTATAGACACTAGCCTCGACTATACTGATACTCTGTCACAACCATATATATCAGATTCCTAAAATACTATCTCTTAAGCAGTGGATACTAGTCACTGTACCACAGATACTAGATTTTCTACATCCTCCTTCGCAAAATAAAACCACTATAAATTGCAATTATCGCAATACTACCTCTCAAATCTTCGATACTAGTCATTGTACCTTAGATACTAGTATTGTACATCCTTTACCACGACATGCAACAATTACAAAACCGCCATCGCTCAATACTAGTGCCGAAATATTGGATACTAACCGTTACATCATAAATGCCAACTACTCCGCAGCCTACATTCACAGGAAATGAAATTTTTGCTCATGATCACCCCTCGAGAAATATCAAGAACGAGCGTATCAACCGCCGTGAATCCCGCTTCAGCGTGGATAACTATTGTTTCCACTTAGTTAAAGACACGTAGCCGGCGGCGATTTCGCGGCTGTTCGAAGAACACAGGCCGGGTTAGAGGTTAATCCTCGCGAGGGGGTTGCTTGCGTGCTCAGGGATGTAGGCGTGGGACGCACGTCGAGCCCTGCGCACAGTACGCGTGCTGGAAACGGTTGTGGAAGCCGCGCCGGAAGGCTTAGTCTGCGCGCGACACTTGCCCGAGACGCGTCGCGTCAATCTCCCGCTGGAAAACGCGTCCCGACGCCTGTTCCTTTGACCAGACAGAAGGAAACTCGTCTCGATCACTTAGAGAACCTCTCGATCATTGTACGACAATGATCTTGCACCTCTTCGACGCGATACCATGGATGGTACCATGGGGTGTACCCCACTTATGGCTATTTTAATAATCCTGAAACTGTGAAAAAGGATTTCTTTAGAAAAGAAAAATTGTTTCCTTGAAAAATAGTGGCTGAAGAGATGATTCTACTAAATTCAGTTCTCATGGAAGATCATCTTCGCGTAGGAACTGAGGCTTTCTGTGAAGATCGAGGGTTTTGAATCTTCGTTCAGTAGAGGATCATCTTCCTGCTTGTAGATAATTTTTTAAAAAAGTTTTAATGAAGTTTTGAGTTGGAACAGAGTTAGCAGATGGTATTGTACAGCTCTCGACGACGAATGGAATAATTGCCAGGCTGTTGCGTGCAATTGGACCCCCATTGTCCCGGTGTCGTGTACCAGGCAGACTGTTTCAAAGACTGGAAGCTTAATATTGGACACCTGTAATGGTTCCAAGCATGAATTCCTGTGGAATACTCATCGGCAAGTGTTTAGAAAACTCTGTCAAAGAAATTGAGGAACTTTTCACAGTTGGAAGACGAATTTCAGGGTTTTCTGATCAGCTGGAATGATCAATTTGAAAAGAAATTGCACAAAGTGGACCAAGTGTGGGATTTTCGTGTGAAACTTTGAGCAAAGACTAGATTTTTAGTTGTGAAAGAGTAAGGTTCAGTGATGAGGCTGGAAAGGAGTAAGAAAGATCGGCTGGATCCTCGTGGAAGATTGATCAGCGAGCCTGATAGAGCCAGCAGAGGAGACATCGCTGTGAAAGGGGCTTGAAAAGAGCAGAGAATGAGAATCGTGTCAAGATCGAGCGTCGAGTGAGGTAAGAATGGTCGAGTTTTATCGTCGATTAGCGTGACGACTCGTTAATCGTCCTTGCGCGTCCAACGATCGCGACAGATGTTTCTCTGCCGCTGGATCGTCGTTGCAATCCATCTGAAAACCTTACGAGATTTGCTTTTTCAGTTGAAACAAATTTTTCAAACGTCAATCGTAACTTCTGGCTTGAATTGTTAAATGATATCTAATTTCTTTGATTTTTAAATTTCTCGACCAGTTTTGCAGGGGGTCCTCCTTAAGAATTTTCGACTATTCTGTCATTGCTAAGGACTAATAATTTTTTTTAAAGGAAAATTCGTGATTTGTACCATTCTTAAATTTCGGAGCTAACAATATTAAGTTTGGCTGAAAATTCTAAGATACTACGTAATTTTTTTGTCTTCAGAGAATAATTTTCTCGACATTTTTTCGGGGGTTGTTCTCTCGAACTCGAGCGAAAATTTGGCGATTTTTTTCTGAAGAAACTACAAGGTATTTTGATTTGAAATTTTACGCATACATTCCCCTGTCGGGGAGAAAGGTGTACAATTTTTTTCGTAAAAAAGTAATAACTATGAAAAAGGTATAGGGTGTACAATAGCACCTGTCGAAAATTTCGATGAAAATCCAGTTTCAGGTAAAAATTCACTCCATCGTCCAATTGAAAAAATTTTTTTTACTCGTCTAGAGCCAGCAGCTTACTTCGATCTCGAAAGAAGTGGAAAGTTTTTGCACCTTTTTCGCCTCTGTCCCCAGGTTTTGGTGGTCAATGTAACGTCTCAGCGATTATGTCACAGGTCTGACAGCGTTGTAGAGGGGAAAGCTTGGTCTCAATCTGCGATTGACAGTCCGTTCCACGCGTCTGCGATCGCAATGGCTCGCATTAGCGGTGCTCCGAAGTTTGCGCCACCGTTCTATTATTG